TACTGCAGTTTAAGGAGGCATTGTTCACTCCTTAACAACCGACTCTTAACAATCATAGACAGGTTTCAGGTATTACAGGAGATAAATCCCCCCTGAACGGCAATCCCCCCTTTAACGACCGATCCTCAGAATCAGAGACAGGTTTCAGATATTACAGGCTAACGATGGAACCAAACGACCCATTCATCGGTTCCATTTGCATGTTTCCAAGTGATACAAGGTTTTGTCTATATAAGACTCAAACTCACTGCGGATCCAGACATTTGAATTGTGCAAAGCTTCCTGGAGAGGTGGCGAAACGTCTTCAAATCTTGGAAACCAAGTCCAGTGGATATTTTTTTTGAATTTTTACAGAATGACTATGACCTGGATGACTGAGAACCTTCATCAGCTTAAAGTATAAAAGTATAAAGTAACCTTTAAAAAAACAGCCAGATGCCACTATATGAACTGAAAGCTCAATTTTTCGACTATTTCTAAAAATTCTTTGAGATAGGGCCAAGGATGAGGGAGGTCTTTGGTCTCCATCTCCATCTTCCGATACGCTCTCGCCTGTGTCCGACCTTTCAGACATTTCAACATCTTTTTCTAAATCCAACATTGTAGCATGGCAAAGACAATTCACGTTTGCAGTTTGAAGAACACCTGCTTGCTTCTGATGATTTCCTTTAGCTAACCAATGAGTGTTTGTGTTATATGACTCATCCAATGACACTAGTTTTCACTAGATGTGGATGGAGCCAATGATCTGCATTGGATGGCGCACATGACGTGAAAAAAATATTTATAAACATTAAACCGAAGCCAAGAGTAACAAGTAACTTTTGCTTTAAAAATGTAAGGAATAGAAAGTACAGATACTAGTGTGAAAATGTAATGAGTAGAAGTCAGAAGTAGGTAGGAAAAAATTAATGGAGTAAAGTATAGATACCGAAAAACTGTACTTAAGTACAGTAACAAAGTATTTGTACTTCCTTACTTGAGACCTCTGCATCTGTGGTGGGATGAAATAAAAATAAAAATGTTAAGAGTAATTAATACTTTTGCATGTATATTAATTGAAATAATTTTCTTTACATTTTCATGGTTACCTGCAAAGAAAAGTGTGTTACTATTACTTTTTTACTCAAAATGGCCTCACATAAGATGTTATTGCTAAGAAACAGGTGAAGGAACACTGTTGCGGATCATCACACTGGTGCAAAGATTTTAGGGTTTTTATTGAGCAAGCAGCAGAACCATGTTGATTCTGAAAATTATTCAGAAAAGCTTTGTGCTGCCACCAGTGCAAAGCTTGCTTAATAGTGACATCAGATGGTGAGCGCATTCACCTTTTAGACAATGGCCTTATGACAGCAACAGCTAAAAATACAACAGGTGAAGACAACATCTTACCAGCACACATTTACTAAAGAAATAAAACCTTCTTTCACCTGCTGTTTAGGGTTCTTCCAGGAGTGAACATTATGACTGATCTGACCATGAAATGTGTAACACAAGATAATTAAACCTTTCACTGGGCTCTTAATGCAAAACTGCCCGGAGCCAGAGAGAAAAATGCACAAAAACTGCTGAGTGTGGCTGTATACATCTGGCAGGGAAAGACTCTTCCATTAACACCAACATCTGGAAACTAATGAGAACATAAGCAGCTACACTTAAACGAAATGAGCTATCCAGTGAAGTCATATGGACAACTTTAAGATGCAACAGGATGATAAAAGCCACAGCAAGCCAATAGGTGGGTAGGGGGATTTTAAGATATCAGCCAGAGGCTTTGGCACCTGTGTGTCGTGTGGTATCGGCCCAAATAACATCATGCAGTCATTGTTACAGTAAAACCAGCACATCTGCAAACCATCATTATTTTGTGTAAAACTGACTAAATAGCATCAGTCATTTTGATTAATTGACTTTCTAAACATAACTTTAGAACCTTTCACCCTTTTGGCTTTCATTCTCAGACTGAACTAAGGAAAATCCAACCTTTCATTTGCTTTTAAAGGAAATTCTATACTAAGAAGTAACTTGTGTAGTTGATTTAGAAAGGAATCATTAGCACCACACTTATTAGCACCCCTGCTGTAAATACCTTCTAAAGCCTGTTAATACTTATAAGATGACATTTTCTCATCCAAAACGAGGGAACATTGGATGTTTCTTTTCCCACAAACTATCTAAATGGTTCAGTATTCTCGGTCCTCTTATGGTCTCTTCTTTTAATCTTACCTTATCTTACCTTTGCAAAAGGATTTAGATTTGTATGTAAGGTAGCCGAGATTTTTTTTGGCTAGGGTTAGGGTTGGTCCAATTTCTTTTTTGTTATTTTTTTTATGAGAGTTCAATCTGAAAAACTCACACAAAGAGAAAAGACAATAAGGAGAAATTTATTGATACAATTACTTTGTCTTTGGCGCTCAGACCTCGGCAGGAAACATAGCACTTAATTTTGATGGATATGCATGAACATGAGCAAAGAAAAGGGCTGTTTCCCCCCAGGCCTAAAACTGGTGGTAGAGTATAGATAGATGAAGTTAGTCAGTCTGTAGACTGCTGGTTAGCAAGACGGTATGCTGAGCTTTATGGGGAGATCCAGTGGATTGTGTGAGCTGATTCTAGTGCTTCACGTAGGGACCTGGAAGATGGAAGTCCAGTTTGGATAACACAGGTTGAGAGAACCTGTCCATGATGAGCAAGCATGGAGCAACAGTGGAGAGGAAAATCTCCCCGTTGGGAAGAAACCTCTGGCAGAACCAGGCTTAACATGGACCGGTTAAGATGAGACAGGGAACGCAGTGAGAGTCCAGGAGGAATGGCACTCTGATGAAGCTTTAGCTACGATGGTGGAGGAAGGGCTGGAGGTGGGTTGAAATGGCGTCATCTGAATGAAGTCACAAAGCGCATCCGCCGCCTGCGCACAGGAGAAGACAGGTGCATATCGGAGGCCTTTTAAGATGAACTTTGGATGCCGATTGGCTTTCGTCGATGTGTGGTTCAAAGCTGATTGTCTGTGTAACAGGTGAATGTATGAGAATCAGTGAGTTTCTTCAGTTGAACTTCCGCCTAGCCTCCATGAAACACACACCTGTGGTAATGAAAAGGCATTATCTCATGTTTTAACCAATTTTAAAGAAGCAGTAACTGCATTTTGCCTCTTGAGTACAAATTCATTGCAACAGTAGTAAAACAGGAAGTCAAGGAATGAGTAAATAATTAATTTAGAGTTTTTATATAAATTTTTATTAAAGAAATCATAGGTTAAACTGAAAATGTATATCTTCTGTAAGTCTCAGATTCAATAGGTGTTATTGAAAATGTAAATACTTTCATTTTTTCAAATTGCATTTTAAATTAGACCTTGTGGTTTCATTTTATTCTTCTGCTAATATAATTTGAGGAGAGAAATATTATTCAGTTGAATCCAGCATAAGCCCTTCATTCCAACTATGCTTGATCAAAAAAAAATTTTTTAAGCCAAGTCTAGAAATTAGACAGATAAAACACAGATTGAAACTGTTAGCAAATTAGAGGAGCATCCAGTTTAATTTTCAAAATTTGAAGAACCACCAGTAGACCTAAATTCTAGGAGTAAAGTGCTGTTAGGAACATAAGAAACAATCAGAGCTCTGATACTTGACGGTGCTTGAATATTTAGGGGTTTATACATGTGAAGAGGAATTTTAAATTGTTTTTATATTCACATTATTCCAAAGGTGAATTAATCAAAATCCAGCAATCTATGTAATATGGGATTTTAATAAAAATCCTGATAAAAATGACATCAATGTTTAAGTTATTCTTGGAATTCAATTTAATACCATGCAAATGAAGTGATTGACTTTTGCAATGGTAAAAATGTTTTACATAAGAAAAATAGCTTATGCCATTTAAAAAAAAAAAAGATGTGTGTTAAGTAGAGACCCAATTAGAGGAGTCAAGACCTTGAGTTTGATCCACCTGCCACAGACCACATTGATGAAGGGGTGAGGAATGTGACCATCTCTATTGTTTTTAAAGCCTTTTTCCATTCACTTTTTTTTTCTTCGATCAACTTTCAATTAATACACTTAAATGCAGGACTATGAACCTCCAGCTACAGAAACATTTGTGTAACTTGCCCTTCTTGTATAGGGTAGAAATGATCTGTGGCAATTGTGATACTGGTTGCATGCAGTTGCCCAGGACATCATTAAAAATGTGGAAGGAGCCCTCCTTCCACAAGCAACAGATGAAAAATGTTTCCTATAGTGCTTTATTTGTGCAATGGTAGTCAGTGGGGAATCAGAACCCCCATGTTTTGAGCAATCACCCCTTATCTGCAACGAGAACAGGGAGTTTAGCTTAGGACTGCAAAGCAGAGCATTTTAGAAGGAGTATGTCTAACCCAATGCTTGAAATAAAAAGAGAAGAAAGATTTAGGTCTTAATTGCATGTAAACTAAAATCACAATTAAAAGTAGCTCAGAGTTCATATGTTAAACTGTTTCTTTCCTAAACAGACCTCCTTCACGCTGAGCCTGGTTCTGCTCAGTGCACGGTGGAGAGTTTTTCCTCTCCACTGTCACTGCAAGGATGCTCAGAATGAGGACTTGATGCAAAGTCAACAACAATGCAAGGGAATAGTGTCGCTTAGCTCATGCAGCAGGCAAGTATTCTGCAAAGTCAATAACTGAATGCACTCAGCTAGGTTTCCTTAGATAGAAGACTAAACCAATCTGTCTTTATGCTTTGATGTGTAAATGATCAATGATGTGAATTGCACTTTTTTACAAAAAAAAAAAACTGAAAGTATTGAGAGAAATTAGACATTTTATTTCAGCTGAGGCTGATTTTTCAATTATTTATCATTAGTTTCTTTTTTATTTATTTATTTTTTTACAATGACCATTCTACTCCTGAGCATTAACGTTCGCATGGTGCGCGCACAAACCATTGGCTCTGGATCTTCTAGGGGCGTTGCTTGGCGTTATTGAGAGCTTTGGGTGCACCGGGGGTGCTCAAGGGATGGCCAGAGGAAAGCTTACTTGGCACTGATCCCTCCTTTCAGCCAAAGACTGCAGTTTACATTTGGCAGCAGTATTTTTTTTTTTATTGTGCCGGGAGGGATGAATGTGTCATAAACACGGAGGATTTGCAGAGGCCAGTGGGTGCGCGTTTTAACAAAGCGATGAGGCCAATGCACTTTGCAAGAGTTGCGCTGCAGAGAGCCTCCTCGGATCTCACGACCTGTTGCTGACAAGCTTGGGAATAAGGAGAAGGAGACGGAGAAGTTTGGGAAGCCGCGCCGAGCCGCTCGGCAGAGACGGAGGGAAGCGCCTTGGACGGATTCTTCGCGGAGGAAATCATGCATCTTGCAATCTGGCTGGTTGGACTAACGTGTCATTTATCAGCACTGGTCAGGGAGACTCTACAGTACCGATTGCATCCGAAACAAGGTAGATCTAATTCTAACCGGGTTCCTTTTGAAGGTATATTTGTATTATAGTGACACTTTGATGCTGCTGCTTCTCTTCTGATTCTCACATTGTGTTGCAGAAAACTTCATAAAGCAGCTGTCATCTTATGAAATCATCACACCGCTCAGAGTGAATGACTTCGGAGAATCATTCCCCCACAATCTGCACTACAGAAGGAGGCGCAGGAGTTTAAATGATGACCTGTCGGGATTGCGGCTTCTCTACAGGATCGACGCGTTTGGGGAACGTTTCCATCTCAACCTGAGCGCAGACTCCAGCTTCATTGCGCCCTCTTACTCGGTGACACACTTGGGAGCGGAGGGGAGCAGCTACACCGACACGAACTTCCACGACCCCGGCGATATGCGGCACTGCTTCTTCCGCGGGCACGTCGACTCGAAGAGCGAGCACCCCGCTGTGTTCAGTCTGTGCACTGGCCTGGTGAGTCCTATTGGATCCCGTTATTACGAAAAATAAAAACAACAAAAATATGATTTCCTTTCTTGAAGCGACTTTGATATGCTTTCTTTATTTTCAATGGATCCCATTCATGCATGTCCTCCAGAGCCCACAGTCTGTGAGTGAAGCGTGTATAACAAGAGCAAGTGTTTCTGACTAATGACACAAGGACGCATGAACTCTGTTAGATGTGATGCGCTCCGGTGTTTGAGACTGAGGCGGATCTATCCCCTGGAAGAATGTCCTCTGATCATCACCAAAATGCTGTATATGGAAGAGATTTTACCTAAACACACCATCTCCAGTGTGAAACATGGTAATGGTTGCATCATACTGTGGGAAGCTTTTCTTTAACAGGAGAATTGGTAAAAGGTGGTGGGTTAAAGGAGGAAGTTTTATCCAGGCATGTTAAAAGTTGCAGAAAGATTTGAAATGAGGCGTTCAGGGTTACCTTTAAGCAGGAGGAAATCATGGAACATACATCAAATTAATATTCCTATCATCTAAAGGCCCAGTTCAGCCACAAATGCAATGGAGAAATGACACAATGATAAAAAAAATGACTTCTTCTTTAGTTTGATCAACTTTAAGCTTTTTTGCAAAAAAAAAAAAAAAATGCAAATTCTGTATTTAGATAAAACAAAGACCTGAACCCTCAAATTTTGTAAGACGGGTAATTAGAACGGCATGAAAATATTTGAAAACTGTGTTTTTGCCTTTTATGCAAAGAAATGTAAAACTTTCAGGGGTATGATGGATCAAGATCAGAATTATTTGGCCTTCAAGAATGACACATTTTCCTTGGACCCTATTGGCTACTTTTTGACTAATTTTCGTTCCAATAACTGAAAAATTTCTGAGTGATGTATTTTTATTTGCAAAGACATAAAAAGACAGGAAAAGACAGCTAAATTCAACTGATGAGCCAGTGTTTTGTCTACACATACCAGATAATTTAGGTGAGATTCAGGTACGATTTGTATCATTTGACATATTTTTTCTGGTACTATGTCAAGAAACAAGTTTACATGTTTTGCTAAATCTATGATGAAAAAAAATGAAACACAGCTTAATAGACTTGATATATTTAATGTTTAGCTGGCAGAGCTGCTTTTAGAGAAGTTTCAAAAGGGTGGTCAGTTACTGAATATCTGGATTATCAGAATATCTGATAATCCATCCATCCATCAATCCATTCTGTTTCAAAGAGGGGGGAGTGTTGGCCTAATAGTTAGAGCAGTGAACTTGTGTTCTGAGAAGGTTGCAAGTACTTGGTTGGATCCCCACAGCCTGGAGTCTGTTAACCCCACTGCTCCCCAAGGGGAGCGGTTAAATGCAGAGGTAAATTTCTCCAGTTTGAGATCAATAAAGTTAATCCATCCATCCGTTTTCTATCACGCTTATTCCAAGCCTATTCTCAAGGGGTGCTGGTGCCTATCTCCAGCTGTCTACGGACAAGAGGTGGGGTACACCCTGGACAGGTCGCCAGTCTATCTCAGGGCAGTACAGAGACAAAAAAGGACAAGCACAACTATTCAAGGAGAATTTAGAGAAGCCAATTAACCTAAGAGTCATGTTTTTGGACTGTGGGAGGAAGCCGGAGTACCCGGAGAGAACCCATTCATGCACAGGGAGAACATGCAAACTCCAAGCAGAAAGACCCCAGGCTGGGAATCGAACCTTGAACCTTGTTGCTGCAAGGCTGCTGCCCAACAAAATAGTCCTGGATAAAGCGAGAGTTGATGAGTATGAGTACAAGTACGGGTGCATTAAAGAGAAAGTGTGCCTAACTCCATGTGCTTGTGTTAAGGACTGTTTATGGTATATTTCCTAACCTTCTGAGGACCAGCAGACCATGTAGGGACAGGGGGCTTTATCTAATGTGGTAAATCCCCTATTTTTAATGTTAGTAAGTCAGTTTAGAGGTATGATGTGATTTCCTAGGTGAAGGTTAGGGAATATAGTGATACTTGTTTGAGTTAGGGCAAATTTTAGGGTTAGGCATTAATACCCTAATTAAAATGAATGTAAGCCAATGTCAAGTTTTAATATAGATGGAAAAACAACTATGTGTCTTTGTATGTTTATATATTTGTTTATTTTACTTATTTAGGTGCGTTTTTGCTAACCCTGTGAGGACCAACAGGCCTTTTGGGGTATAATTTTGAACCATATAGAGTCAGTTTAGAGGTACAATGTGAATTAACTTTAGGTGATAGTGGTTATATTCAGGATAAATGTCAGGGTTACATAAAACAAATGTAAGTCCATGGAAAGTCTCAATATACAAACCTCTGTGTGTGTGTTTTGTTTTAACTGCATTAAGGCTATGTTTTTTTATTTTTTTCTATAAACTAGAGAAATGGGAAAATATTCTTGTCTACATAGCATGGGAATCCTGGTGTTCAACTGATTTAGTTTGCTGACTCCTGTGGGGAGAGTCTGATAGCTGCTGAAGGGGATGACTTCATGGGTCACATGAGGTTACTGGACCAGGAGCAAGGGGGTTGACCCCAGAGGGACCAAAGGGATCCAATGTGGGGGGTGGGTAAAGAGTGACCGTAGACTTCAAGCCTAACTATCCCCGCATCTATTTCGGTGATGCGATTCTTATTTTTGGACAAGTGCAGCAAGTACAATTTAGACTGTAACAGGTGCACTTTTTGGCTCAAAAAGTAAATCAAAAATACATTTATGTTCATCTTAATTTCTCCATTTCAACCATGAGGTGACATGCACCATATGGTTAAATAGAATTTAATACCCCAATAGGTTTTCTTCCTTTTTTGTGAAAATACCACCCTCTGAGGATAACTACACAATAGACATGGCACCAAAGGCTGCTGGGTCATAAATGTGTCTGCAGCTGATCACTGGGGCTTGCCGGCCTGGGCAACATTTTGCGGAGATGAGGTAATTAAGGAATAATCAAGCCATAAAACAAATGGGTCATTCTAGGAAAATTGCAGTTTCCTCTTTTCGTCCAGAGTTACTCAAAGCTATCCCCGGGGGAGATTGGGCAGAGAGGTGGGGGGTTTTAGAGTGTGGGGATAATTTTGCTCTTTTTAAGTGAACTTGCTGTGATGGACAGGAAACAAAAAAAAAACCTCTGCAAAGAAGATGACTACTAATGCAGGTTGCAGGAACTTAAGGATTGCTCACACCGTGGGAAATACTTTTCCCTGCAGAGCTGGCTTTCTCAGTTTGCTCCCATAATAGAGGAGTGTGGTGGGTCAATTTGCCCTGAGAAATGGTTCTGCCTTCTAAACGATGTAAAGATCCAATTCCTGCCTCTTTTGTGGGTCCTTTTACTTTAGAGGTCTAATGTTGGATCACTCAGCACAGATAAGACACAATAAAACACAATATCTGCCATGTCATTCATTTCAGTTTCTGGCTACTATGTAATGAGATCCTGTTCAGCTTTCTGCTTATCCAAATTTCTGGAAGATTTATATTTGAGCTAAAGGAAGCTCTGGAGCTGTGCCTCCTTCTAGCGAAGAAACAGATAATTGTCTGGTTCAAGTCCTGACAAACAAGTCTTGCAAGATTAAGTCTTATTATTGCAACAAACAGGCACCAGCCATTTTATATTTAATCATAAAGTGCTAAGATGTACAAGAATGTGATCTCACCTGAATGTTCTGTAATATGCAAGTGGCAAAAAACAAAAATCTTTGTAAACATGCCATATAGTCATGTCATTCCTATTCATCTATAGCCTAAAAATACATAGTTGATAAGAGAAAAATCTGCCAGCAGGAGACTGAAACCGAAAACCCATTAGATTCTTTATTTCTGCTCTTCATTTTCACAAAATGTTAACCAGATTGTCATGGCACAAATTTGAATTACTGCTTTAAAATGAGAGACTGGTGTTTGATGACACAGAGCATAATCCCAGATCTTCAGTTTGTCTGTAGGTTGGTCTTGCTAGCTTTAGACAGGCATTTTCTGGTTACATCCAAAATTGTGTTTCTTCCCCTCTGAGCTGATGATTCTAAATTTGTTCTTTAGATTTTAACATGACATAATTGGAACAAATGTGCTCCTAGTTTTATGACAAAAGTGATAGCTTCAAATTAAACAGATTAATTAGAATTGAGTCAGAATACACTTTATTAGTCACGTTTTGTGCATAAACAAGACATTTGAGTTTGGTTTCTTAAATTGAAAAGTCATGTTTTAAATTATGTCACCAAACTTTATATGCTTTCAGTTCTTTTAAATTTGAGAAGCAAATTAAAGTCAAGGTTGTTGATTGGTGTCAGGTAGGGTGGAGGTTTTTGAGGACCCAAATACAGAAAAGTTTGCAGATTTAATACATTTTCACAGGCAACTAAGGCCAAAATTGAAAAAAATTCTGAAAACTAAAATATAGAAGACATCAAGGAAAAACACAAATGAGGAACCAGGAACCGACAGAGTAATAAAATAACAAGAAACCAGCACTAAGTGAAGGCTGTGCTGAGCTTTAAAGCCTAGCACTCTGATGAGACTGATGAGCTCCACCTGTGTAGACTACAAAAGTTCTCCACCAAGATCCTCTTAGGAAGAGATGCATCACTAGCACTAACACACACACACACACACGGGAACCCTGACAGTTGGTGTGCTTCTTCAAATTCTGAGTTGTGATTGTTTTTTATGAATAGAAAAAAAAAACATTTACATTATTCCCTGTTTGACTGCCTATCACCAATCAGAGCCTATCAAAAATGGATTGAAGCATCCCTGGTACCTCTACTAAACATAGAATAAAGCTTTGAACTGCAAAA